ACGGTCACATGACTTCACTTCACCACCGCTAAGCTAAAGGTGGCTAATGTTGGGCTATAAAGGAACTACAGCACGGTCACATGACTTCACGTCACCACCGCCAAGCTAAAGGTGGCTAATGTTGGGCTATAAAGGAACTACAGCACGGTCACATGACTTCACGTCACCACCGCTAAGCTAACATAAAGGAGGCTAATGTTGGGCTATAAAGGAACTACAGCACGGTCACATGACTTCACGTCACCATCGCTAAGCTAAAGGTGGCTAATGTTGGGCTATAAAAGAACTACAGCACGGTCACATGACTTCACGTCACCACCCCTAAGCTAAAGGAGGCTAATGTTGGGCTATAAAAGAACTACAGCACGGTCACATGACTTCACGTCACCACCGCTAAGCTAAAGGAGGCTAATGTTGGACTATAAAGGAACTACAGCACGGTCACATGACTTCACGTCACCACCGCTAAGCTAAAGGTGGCTAATGTTGGGCTATAAAAGAACTACAGCACGGTCACATGACTTCACGTCACCACCGCTAAGCTAAAGGAGGCTAATGTTGGGCTATAAAGGAACTCCAGCACCGTCACATGACTTCACGTCACCACCGCTAAACTAAAGGAGGCTAATGTTGGGCTATAAAGGAACTCCAGCACAGTCACATGACTTCACGTCACCACCGCTAAGCTGTGCAAAAACGAGATTTGATGATCAAAAATAATACTTTTCTTTTGAAGTAGCTCTACTTCAGTGAAAATGTAAATGTTTCTCTCCAAGGCTCAACCTGTCTTTCCTCTCTCTGGCTTCCTCTGAGCACCAGCTGCCTGCCAGCCGTACTCTGGCAGAAACACTGACTAGGACCCGGGCCAGGGTTGTGAAAGAGAGAGAGAGAGAGTGTGTGTGTGTTGGTGTGGGGTAAGGCAGGATCAGTGGTTCCAGTGCAGGAATTTGTCCAGCCGTAGACGGGAAGGAGAGGGAAAGCAGATCTAAAGGCCGGACCACCCAAGAGACTGTGTTTACGAGGTGTGTGTGTGTGTGTGTGTGTGTGTGTGTGTGTGTGTGTGTGTGTGTGTGTGTGTGTGTGTGTGTGTGTGTGTGTGTGTGTGTGTGTGTGTGTGTGTGTGTGAAAAAGTTAGATGGCAGACTTTTTCGGGGTCACCCAGTCCTGCCCATGGTGTCATCTCTGTGTGTGTGTGAGAGATGTTAGTCATGATTGCGCGATGGCCGGCTTTAATGTCGGGCCAGGGGAAGTGTCATCAGCGTGAGATGACACTGCAGGTGAGAGCAGGCAGTGAGGCAGGCCAACACACACACAACACACACCTTCAAAGGTCACACTCCATCATCTCCCTCACTGCTCCTCTTCATGAAGGAAGTGGAGCTCTGATCCCTGTGCTCATTAATAACTGTATTAATTACGCTGCATGGGAATAACATGCGTTTAATTTTCTTTCTCACTCTCTTCCTCCCCCCTCCTCTTCATCACATCCTCCTCTTCATCACCTCCTCCTCTTCCTCCTCTCAGATTTCCAGTCCTGTCTGATCTGTGTGGCTCGCAGAGTGCCGATGAAAGAGAGACCGGTGCTGCCGACTCACGAGAGTTTCACCACGCGCCAAGACCTGCAAGGTACACAACCACACACACACACACACACACACACACACACACACACACACACACACACAGGAAAACACACACTAACTCACATAAAAGCACCATCCAGTAACAATTAGTGAATCATGCGTAAGAAGGGGAAGAAGTACTTAGATAATTTACTTGTGTGTCACTAAGGCAACGAAAGTTTATTTATATAACCCCTTTCAGCACAAGGCATTTCAAAGTGCTTTCCCAAAATGAAAGATATTAAGAAAATGGCATTTAAAAACATTAAAAAGCAAAGATAACGTCCCGTGTGTGTTCCAGGTAAGATCACGTCTCTGGACACCAGTCTGCTGCGGGCCTCCATGAAGCCGGGCTGGGAGGATCTGGTGCGGCGATGCATTCAGAGGTTCCACCTGCAGAACGACGGGGAGATGTCCTTCGCCAAGAGGCACCAGCAGGAAGGTAACAGTCACTCATCTTTAGGATGCTTTTTCACAGCGACTCCGTTAGTGTAAACAATGGCTTATAAATAATATGATCTGTACTTTAGGCAACATGTATATCTCAATATCATCATATCCTTTCTAAAACTGTATGTGGACATGGAAATCAGGCTCTTGAATGTTTTGAACAGAGTTTGAAAAAGTCATACTAACCGATATTGAACAGATTTTTCTTGCAAAATGGGCATTTTCAACTCAAATCGGAGCCTAAACTCTACAGCAGGGGTCGGCAACCCCTGGCACGCCTGCGGCACCGTAACCAGTGGCACACTAGGAATAAGTGGAATACGTGTGCAAATAATATTTAAATTGTATTTTCGGATCCTGAACGAGACCGCCGCCAGAGCGCGTCTCCCCGTTACCTGCAGAAGGAAGCCGTGCACGCAACGCAGCCCCGCTCTCTTTATCTCCAGGTGACTTTCTGCCGCTTTCCTCCGTGGTGCAGTGCTGATCGTTTCACCACAGAGGAAAGCACTAAGCTAATTGCAGTACCCATAAGGAGCTGTACAGATGCTGCAGTTTTTGCGTGGCTGTGTATTTAGTTGAAAGCCCAGTGGCGATCTGCTCATCTGTTATCGAAATAATATGCTACAAAGGGGCGGACTGGCCAACTGTGTGTTGAACTTTCCTGTCGGCTCCCAGACCGTAGTCGAGGAGGGCAGAAGCAACAAGCTTCAGGTTCAATAACCCACTTTAGCTTAAATGACTGGAGAGAGGCGAGCTCTTCTTGGGAGGCCGTTGCATTTATTTAGTTGTTCTTCTGTTTCACAAAATACATCACAGACCTCAGTTTTTCACTTCCAGAAACATACACATGTTCCCTCACTGTCGCTCTACCATCCACACACACACATGCACAAGCCACACCCCTCTCTCTCTCTCTCTCTCTCAAAAGGGACAGCGATTTCATCTCACTCCGTTGGCACGCTGATAACAATTTTTTTTTTTAAATGGCACTTCATATCAAAAAGGTTGCCGACCCCTGCTCTACAGAATAGGAATAATGATCTACAAACGCATGAATCATTCTCAGTCAAAACAGTTTATGTGCATCTCCTTATTTAATCACTCAGAAATAAGGACAGTGTTGGAAATGATGGCGTGAATGCAACGTTTATTCATGCTGACCTTGCACAAATAAACACTTTTACACTCAAATCAGAGCCTAAACAATACAAAATAGGGTGAAGTTTGAGTATACACATCAGTAAAAACTGTTTTGTGTGTCCTCAGTGCTGCGCCACGGCCAGGCCTTCAGTCCCATCTACCGCTTCTCTCTCTCTGACGGCACCATCGTGTCGGCGCACACTAAGAGCAAACTGGTGCGCTCTCCGGCCACCAACGAGCCGCAGCTCTACATGTCGCTGCACATCCTGCAGAGGTATGGCATGCATGCACCTGGGGAAATCTGCAGCTGGAAGGAGGAGACATGCTGCATCCTGCCCATACCCTAAAGCACGGGGAGGTTATATGTGTGGATGCTATTAGTCTCAGGGAAAAGGGTATCAATCAGATCATGTACATGGTGTTTCACTCTCATCAGAGCTATACGGGTCAGGCAGTTCATTGGGAACTATTCAATTCAACACCTTCTGTTTTGATAATTGGTTTGAATCACATTTTAAATGAAAAACCTCAGATTCCAGCTTTTTAAATGTAAATATTATCTGGTTACTTTACTTTTCTACATTGGACATAGTGTCTTTCATAGTTGTGTTTCCCCTGCCGGACAAAAACACTTTAGATTCCAGCTTTTTAATTGTGAATATTGATGATATTATATATGAACAGTTACTTAACTTTTCTACGTTTGATATTGTGTCCCCTTCAGGGAGCAGACGGTGTGTGGGATGGGTCAGGACATCGGTCAGACCCCAGGAATGGCCCCCAAACCCATGAACTCCTCCACGCCCTCCATGACCCCCCCGACCCCCGGCAGCCTGCCTGGTTCTGGGCCTCAGGGCCAGGAGACCACCATCAGCAGCAACAGCAGCACGCCTTTCTCATCTCTTGGCCCTCGAGAGCCTCCTGCCATGGGGGGCCACATGCAGAGCTATCGTTTCGGGTGCCCCCCTCCTCACAATCACACTGGAGGCATGCAGCCCCCTCAACAAGGGGCTAATTGGAGGATGAACAGTCCGTCTAGAGCGAGTCCGAGCCCAGCAGGAGGGCCACATCCTCCTCAACAGAACTCTATGTTGTCCCCGAGGCATCGAAACAGTCCTGGGGGGTCTGGGAGCCCTCGAGTAGCGGGTATTCACTCCCCCTCACCTGTAGGGATGTGTGGGGCCCCCCCAGGTAGCAGCGGCAATGCTAACAGCTACACTAGCAGCTCTCTTTCTGCACTTCAGGCCCTTAGTGAGTGTCATGGGGTGGGACACGGGGCCCCTCACACTCTGGGGTCCCCAGACAGAAAGATGGGTTCTCCAGTGGGGGTCTCTCAGGGAGGGGGCTCTCATCTGATGTCCAAACTGGGAGGAGAGTCATACGGATCGAATATGGAGGGTCAAGAGACGAATATGGAGCCTAAAGAGGATCGAGAAGGGGCCCCTGATGACTCCCTGAACCGTCTTCACGACAACAAAGGCCACACTAAGCTTCTACAGCTTCTCACGACTAAACCGGAGCCCCTGGAGACCCCTTTGTCCCCGGGGGGAGAGGGAAAAGAGGGCCGCGGGGGCCAGAACGCAGCGAACACTCACGCCTCCTCGCTAAAAGAGAAACACAAGATCCTGCACCAGCTCCTGCAGAACAGCACGTCCCCCGTGGACCTGGCCAAACTCACAGCAGAGGCAACGGGCAAAGAGCCGGGTCAGGAGCAGAACCAGGGGGCTGGGGGTCAGGGGTCAGGGCCCGATATGGGTCTGAAACAAGAGCCTCTGAGCCCCAAGAAGAAGGACAACGCCCTGCTGAGATACCTGCTGGACAAGGACGACACCGCAGGGAAGGAGAAGATGAAGCTGGAGGCGGGGGAGGTGAAGCTGGAGGGAGGGAAGCATCCGACGGTGAAGACGGAGAAACAAGACTCTGGATACGACCGCGCCGAGCAGGTGAGAGCAAAACAACAACAACAACAAGCAAAAGCATCCTCAGGTGTGACGCACTTTCCCTTAGTTGCTTCTTCACCACAGAGGCTACTGTCATAAGTTAAGGGTTGAATAAACCCCAAAACCTCTGATCTAGGTGCAACATGTGTTTCAGTTCCTGGGGTATAATGTAGATATCTTCAGGGTGTTGATGATGCCATTTTTACAACAGGCCACTGTCGAAAGTCAAGGGTTGCAAAGGCGGAGAAAACGCCACAAAAACGTGATCTAGGGGCAAAACTGGCCCCGGAGAGAAAGAATATGTATGTTTTTAATATGGATGCGTTTCCCATGTTAAGGTCACATTAAGCCATCATTTGATTTGTATTCAGTGAATTTCTATTTCCAATACATTTCTTATTTGATAGGCACCAAAAAAAGCCACGAATAAAATTGAACTAGGTTTAAAAAAAACCTCAGAAAAGTATATATGTTTTTAGAAATGTGTTTACAATATCAAGCCAATATCCTTTCACATTTAGCCATCATTCCATTTGTGTTCAGTGTATTTCCATATCCAATACATTTCTTATTTCATATGCATAGACATCAACTTTATGCACTAAAAACTAGTGTTGAAAGTGGCGTGTTCATTTTGTAAAAGCCTTATTTTAATAGACACATGTTTCGTCCCAAATATTTATTTTAAATACCTAAAATAACTCCAGTCAGAGAGCTGTATCGGAGCGTGGTCAAAACGGGAAATATCTTGTCATTTTTTCCGATTGTTTGTCGATAATACAGACAGATGTAGGAATATCATCATCATTTTCTCCAATGTACTAGTCTAGTAAGGTCTGTTTAATGTGGTAAGGTCTAGATATCCTCAGGGTCTCAGTGCATATGAGAGAGGGTCTCCTTTTTGTTTACTTCTTCATCCCCTCCTCTGAAACGATGGAATGAGTCGCGCTGCCCTCAAAACTCATTCAGTAACCTCCTTCTCTTCGTGGCTAAACTTTCCCCCTGTGCTGCTCCACTTCCTCTCCGATGATCTGGGTTAGGCAGCAGATGTTGGTGCTGCAGAGGTCTCACACACACACACACACACACACACACACACACACACACACACACACACACACTAGCCCATGTACTTGTGTGTATTGTCAAACACCAGTATTAGGGCCGTGCAATTGATTTACTAGTTCCTATACCTCGCTATAATACTGACAGTTGTAACTTTTCCTCAAAACGTCTTCTTGTAAATACAAAAGACTCAAAGAAACTCCCCCGTCTTCTTACGCCTGGCACTAAGAGTGTTTAATATGTATAAAATAAATGGCCTTCTTACACAAGATCTCCATGAGGAAGTGTGACACACTTGATATGAAGCTCAAGAGTAAGTGGCAGTTACACTGTGTGTGTGTAAACACATCTGGTGCGTCCACTGGCAGCAGGAGCTGGAGCGAAGCGATCCACCGGCTTCAAACAGCTGTGACATTTGGACGGTTTCCCCGTGGAGATCCAGACATTTGATCCTGGCTGCGTTTGGCACCGGGCTCGGGTCAGAACTGGCGCTGAAAGAGAGCAGGAAGAGGGGGGGGGGGAAACTGCAAGTTTTCTGTAGCAGAGGTTCAGCTCTGACGTAGATATAAATACGACTTTCTCTCCTCCACATTTCTATAGAAACATTTCCCAGACATGCTCTCTGCGTCTGCATGTACAGTATGTGCTCGGTCACTTGGGTACACGAATAGAGGAGGAAGAGGAGGAGGAGTAGGAGGAGGTGATTGGGTGGATAATAAGAGCTGCTGAACAAAGGAGTAGATCCTCCCCCCCAGGAGAGTAGAGAAAATGATGAGCCATATGCTGCTGCATGTCCTCTCTGCTGCCATGGAGATACAGAGGTGTGTGTGTGTGTGTGTGTGTGTGTGTGTGTGTGTGTGTGTGTGTGTGTGTGTGTGTGTGTGTGTGTCTATATTGTCTCCAGGTGCAGCTTCTCCTCCAGGTGCTCCCAATCACCAATCAGGGCCTCCATAAAGGACCTGAGAAAGGCTGCAGTCGCTCTCCCCTTCTCCTCTGGCTTTCTCCTCTCCTCTCGGTGAGGGAGGTCCAGTGGTTCCTAAGCTAAAGGAGGTTATAAAGGAAGTGGCTCCTCTGACACAGCTCTCCCTTCATTCATCACCACGATGATAATAATCAGTTTTTATCAGCAGGAAGTCAACGAGTGACGCTTGGAGTCAAATGAGGCTGCGTTCAGGCGCCCATTGTTCTGCAGTTATCTCCTAAACCCTGGGAAGTCCTTTCAAAATAAAAGGTCTCATCTGGTAAATATCAATCAATCAGAGTTCATTTATACAACCCAATATCACACATTTACATTTGTCTCAGGGGATTTGACTCAGGACCCAGGACTCAGGATCCAGGACTCAGGATCCAGGACTCAGGGCCCAGGACTCAGGATCCAGGATCCAGGACTCAGGACCCAGGACTCAGGATCCAGGACTCAGGATCCAGGACTCAGTATCCAGGACTCAGGATCAACATTATGCAATACGGGGCGATACGATACAACACAATGCAAAATAATGATACTTCAATTTGGTACCACAGAGGATTTGGCTTTATTCCTGATATGCAGCAAATCATACATTAACAAAAAAGTGCTTTACATATTGGGTTCTCTCTACTGGCGCATCCCATCATGCTGTTTCTTTATTACCTTAAAACA